TTCGGGGGAAAAGGGCGGCATATAAATATAATAAACAAACAAACAAACAAACAAACAAACAAGAGGGGTAAAAAAAAATCCATTTATGTTAGAATTGAGGGGGAGCAACACGACACCACCTATCTTGCAAGAAGATTCCACAAACAATTGTATCCCGATTTAGGTGACCCTGAGGGCACAGATAAACCTGCTAAGTGGCCTCAAGAACCTGCTAAGGACCAGATGACCCCAAAGAAACACAATCCTTCTATTCCCCCATCCACCCACCTCCATCCTATCAGAAGATATCCATCCACCCACCATCAGAACTCATGAGGCTTCTTGAATGAGAAGCAAACATTGTTTCTTCCTCTTCCTCCTCCTCCTTCTTCCTGCTCCATTTCTCCTACCCCTCTTTCTTTCTTTTCTTTCTTTTTTTCTTTCCTTCTTTCCTTCCTTCTTTCTAAAAAAATGCTCAGTTGCCTTTTGCCTTTTGAAAAAGCACCTTTGAGGTCCTAGGACTTCTGAAACATTTGCTTTGGTCTACATCCTGCATTAGCTTCCATTCATATGTGCAAATCCTTCACTGGTGATTAAAAACCACTAGACATATGCAAGATATTGAAACCAATCACCTACTGTATCTGAGAATTCAGCATTTTTATGAAGCATTGGAGAAACATTAACCTTCTCCCATTCTGGAACGTTCAAAATGCTGGAAGCTAATCCTGATCATTTCTACCTTGAATACAAAGACCTATCAAGCTCCAGAGTTAACATCTCTGGTTCCAAATAAAAAACAATTACAGAGAAGTCCATAACTCTAGCTCCAGTCAGACCTGCTCGTGTTCCAGAGATATGGTGGTGAGTTGTTCTAACTAGTCCACCTGTCAAAATTCCCTCTCCCATATCTGGAATGACAGAGGGTATTTCAGAAATGGGGAGTTAGAAAGGGGCAAAGAGAAAGGCACTTGAGAAAGTTCGGTCAATCTTTCCTTCTCTGATCATCAAAGAAATCCATGAGGAATAGAATAGAATAACAAAGTTGGAAGGGACCTTGGAGGTCTTCTAGTCCAACCCCCTGCTTAGGCAGGAAACCCTACACCACTTCAGACAAATNTCTACCTACCTACCTACCTTATCTACCTACCTATCTATTCTATCTCTGTTATCTCCTGACTGATGCTGGAGAGGAGAAAGAAATAATTTCATAGCAGGAGCTGTCCGTGACTCATGGTGCTGAAAGCCGACTTGGGGGTTAAGCTTTCAACCAGGACCTAATTCTGCCTCTCCTCCCCCCTGGGAAGCCCACAGGATGTGTCACCTCCCAGATAATTTATAGCTCCACTACCATAATGAAAACCTTGATCTTATTTGTGTTAAGCTTTCGAACCGTTTGTGGCACACAGGTCACAGCTGTGAAAGTTCCTAACCACAGCGATTTTAAGTCCTCTGAACGTAAGCTGCCGTGAAAGGTTCACCCCATCTCCTAATTAACCAGAGTGTGTTATTAAAACTCAGAAAGAAGGGTCCGGGGGGAGGGGAGGGAGGAATTATGGGGGAATTAATCCTGTTGATCCCATAAATTAGATTTCAGTTTCCCATCAATAATCAGGTACGTGCAATAACGCTATGCTTTTAAAGAATAAAAATGCGGACCCAGATTAAATAAAACCACCAAGTGGAAAATACATTTTCTCCTTAAGCCTATTTTTTTAAGCATGATGAATGCTGTTAAGTATAGCGAGGAAGTTCGATGTTCCGTTTTCATTAGTCTTTGATGGGAAAAAAAAATCCGAGAAAAATGTTGCGCTTAACATGTTCCTCTCTGTAGTTGTTTTCCTGCAGGGCTCAGGAATGAATCTTTTTTTTCTTATAAGTTACAGCAGGTTTTTCTTGAATCAGAACATTATTATTATGTTTTTAACATGTCCATGAGGTCCCAGGGGTGAAGACCAGAGAGAAAACAATATCTTACTTCAGGCTTTGAATTGGTTTTTTGTTTTGTTTTTTGGCAAATTGTCTTGAGAGTTGTGTTCCTTCTAATCTATCCTGTGATCAAAGTTGGTGTTGAGTAAGATGGTGAGGTTCTAGAACCTTTTGAGAATTTTAGGTGTGTGGGGATATGATCAGTGTCCCCTCCCGCCAAGATCCACTATTAACAGCTAAGAATTCTCTTGAGAGAGAAAGAGAGAGGGAGGGAGGGAGAGAAGGAGAAAGAGAGAGAGAGAAAAGGAAAAAGAAGGAAAAAAGAGAGAAAATGAGAGAGAGGAGAGAAAGAGAGAAGAAAGAGAGACAAAGAGGAACAGAAAGAGAGAGAAAGAGAAGAAGAGAGAGGGAAAGAGGAGAGAAAAGGAGAAAGAGAAGAAGAAAGAAAGAGAGAGAAAATGAAAGAGAAGGAGAGAAAGGGAGAAGAGAGAGAGACAAAGAGGAAGAGAAAGAAGAGAGAGAGAGAAAGAGGGGCAAAAAGAAGAAAGATAAGGAGAGAGAAAGAGGAGGGAAAGAGAGAGAAGAGAGAGAAAGAGAAACAGGAGAGAAAGAAAAGGAGAAAAANTTGATTACTTTCCACCCATTGCTTCTCATCTGCCCTCGGGTGCTTTGGAGAATAGCTTGATTCCCTCTTCTTTGTGGCAGCCCCTGAGATATTGGAAGACTGGTATCATGTCTCCCCTAGTCCTTCTTTTCATTAAACTAGACATACTCAGTTCCTGCAACCGTTCTTCATATGTTTAACCTCCAGTCGCCTAATCATTTTTGTTGCTCTTCTCTGCACTCTGCTCTGCACTCTGCATTCAGATCTGTTGCAGAGAGCCCTGTAACACCAGATCTTTACCTTTTTTTTTACAACTCCACTTTTTCGCCAGGGCCAAATTATTTAGTTACAAAACACATTGTATCTTGATTTTTGTGGGACATGGACCTGATCAGAACCATAACAAGACAAATCTGAGAGAAGAAGGTGAGTTCTCTAATTTTGGACGCCCCTAAATATTCTGTGGTGCTAAAATTCCGTGCTGAAGTTCTAGGGGGGAAAAAAATTAAAAGGATTCCTAAACACAGTCTGAATGTGACAAATGGCCACAGAGTTTTATTTAATTAAAAAAGGAGGACACTTTTATATTCCCCTTGATGAAGGCTCGCGTTGCGATCTTTCCTACTAAATCACTTGGTAAATCTTCTTTGGGGGGAAAAAAGAATGAAAGAAAATAGATAAATACATTCCACATTTTTTGGCAATATTTCTGGCGAGAATTAGAGAAATGAGAAGTACCAAAGTAATCCACCTTACGATTTTGTTTCTGCTGGTCCTTGTGGCTTAGACGTTTCCTCCATCTCACGTGGATTGAGATATGGCCTTCAACTTTTCCATTTTTCCCTCTCGCCCATTGCCCCCCCCTCCCCCAAACATAAGATCCAGGTGCCAAACCTGAAATACTGAGAATTAACCAGCTTGAAAGTGTCTAAACCAGCATTTACTTTTGGGTCTTGATTAGGAAGGAACAGCTCAAAGAATGAGATCTTAATTTGACTTCTCCTTATTTATTTATTTTTTAATTTTCCCTTATGTGTTGGCTTCAAACACCTCTCTATAAGTCACATTATATATATATGTGTGTGTGTGTGTGTGTGTGTATAAATAAATACATAGATACATACATATATACATACACACACACACACACACACACGAAAACCCAACAAACCACAGTTGGGTTGTGCCCTAAGTTCTATTTTTTTCCTTCTCTCTCTCTCTATGCTCCTCATCTTTGACTAGTATCTCAACGTAAAGGCAGAAAGGTGAGTGGGCGGAGGGAAAAGAAGAGATAAGAAAGAAAACCAAATCTTTTTCAGCTGTATTGTTACACTTTTTCATGGAGCTGTTCCATGTAGTTCCTTAGTTCTTTACATCCCCCCAAGTCCATGTCTTGACAAACCCATTTGATATCGTCCTCACTGCTGTTCAAAATGGAGTTGACCGTTGGGTAGCCACCATCAGAAGAGATGGTGGTGAAGGTGGTAAATTGGACTCGTTTCCGTTTGGAGGTGGGCGAGGTGGTTTGTTCGCTCTTCTGCTCCTTCCTTTCTGGGGTGGTAGCAGAATCTGTGGAAGATCGGAAGACTTGGCCATTGAGGTTCTTCTGAGGGTTGGCACTGAGGAGATATTTGCTTTCTTCTAGATCCATGCTCCGGTCAATGGCCGTAATGCATTCCTCTTGTTGGGTGGAGAAATTGAGGTGATTCTCCAGAAGTTCAGTTCTATTACTCAGTCCCACCCAGTCGTGAGAATGCCTCAGGCCTTCTTGCTCTTCAAACGGAGCCTGCTTATGCCTGTATTTCAAGGCAAAGGTGACACAGTTAATGAGGAACACCAAGATGGCCAAGCAAAAGACACCCAGCAAAGCATACATCCCAATTTCCAAGTCACTTAAGCCCCTGGGTGTCTCATCGGGATCATCTTCTTCCAAATCCCCATTGCTTCTGGGCAGGTCTACCTGAGCTGGAAAACTGGTGAAGTCTATCGGGAGATTTTGCATATGACCGTCATCATCTAAGAGACTCTCGCGATCTTCTTTCTTACTCAAGACGGACTTCTGAGTGCTAGTTGTCCTGGTTTCTTCATGTCCCATAGAGGAGCTGTAGTAAGGTCCCTCAGGACGAGATCTCTCTTGCAGGCTTGTCTTCTGACGGCGATCAGCGGTCCGGTTCTCCAGATGGACCCCGTCTCTGCCATGCTTATTGTCACTTGGGTTGGGGATGGTGTCATTCTGGCCAAACTTGACCTTGATGTTCCCGGTACCCACCGCCAGAACGCTCTTCCTTTTCGACTTCTGGCACGATTCGCTGATCACCAGCTCGACTTTCACCAACAGACCCTGTCCTTCAGACTCGGCCACGAGGAAAGGCCATTTAAACTTGGGACTCTGGTGGATGGACACCACCTTCTCATCCAGAGATGTGGCCACCAAAGAAAAGTCCTTAGCGTCGTATATATCTAAGGGCATAACTGCTCCGTCACTGAACTGGATCCAGCAACTCATCACGGCTTCCTATTTTGGGGGGCAGAAAGGAGACAGAATGATACTGGGACAAACCCATCAAAATACATGGTCATCCTCAACTTACAACAGTTCACTTAGTGACCGCTCAAAGTTACAACAGCATTGAAAAAAGTGACTTATGACCCTTCCAGTATCCCCATGGTTACGTGACCAAAATTCAGGCACTTGGCAACTGGTTTCATACTTATGACAGTTACACTCTCCCGGGGTAATGTGATCATCTTTTGCGACTTTCTGATGAGAAATGTCAATGGGGAAACCAGGGTCACTTAACTTGGTTAGTGTTAGTAAGGGATTCACTTAACAACTGTGGCAAGAAAGGTCATAGAATGGGGCAAAACTCACAAGAAATGTCTCATTTAGCAACATAAATTTTGGGCTCAACTGTGGTCATGTCAAGCACTACCTGTATATAGTCGGAATGCAGACTTTTGAATAACTTACCATGTAAATTAATAATTTATAAAATTAATAATTTATAAAATTTATTGGGCACCCATTTTACCATATATATACACCAGTGGTGGGTTTCAAAAAAATTTGGAACCTCTTCTGTAGGTGTGGCCTGTTTTCCGGGTCCACTGGTGGAACCTCTTCTAACCAGTTCGGTAGATTTGATGAACCGGTTCTACCGAATAGGTGCGAACTGGTAGGAACCCACCTCTGATATACACACACACACATACATACATACATACNATCATTCTGACTTGTTTGTCAGTCCACCGAGTCCCCCTTTGCTCCTCCTATTTTTAGCAAGGCCAAAAGCTCTCATGGTGTTATAATTATTCCAATCAAATCCATCAAGCTAGGAGTGGGGGGGGATCTTGCTCCATTGCATTTTCTGCAAATCGGATCCAGGTGGATGTGACTTTTTTTTTCTCTCGGGGATGGAAGAAACTAATTCCCAAATGTTTTTTTGGGGAGTAGGTAATTTTCAGGTTTTGCCAGAAGTGGGAGAAAGAGCATTGGGCATTATTTCTGGGGGAATTGGGTGAACTTCCATATATGTTCGAAAATAATGGTCTACGAGAGAGGGACTGGCTCAGTCACCCAGACAACTTTTATGCCTAAGATCTAACTAGAACTCCCAGACTCCTGGTGACTGGCCCAAAATCACCCAGACAACTTTCATGCCTAAGGCAGAACTACCTCTTCCAGGCTCCTGGTGATTGGCCCAAAATCACCCAGACAACTTTCATGCCTAAGGCGGAACTAGAACTCCCAGTTTCCTGGTGATTGGCCCAAAGTCACCCAGCTTTCTTTCATGCCTAAGGCATGATTAAAACTGCCAGACTCCTGGTGATTGGCCCAAAATCACCCAGACAATTTTCATGCCTAAGGCAGAACTAGAAATCCCAGTCTCCTGGTGATTGGCTCAAAATCACCCAAACAACTTTCATGCCTAAGGCGGAACTAGAACTCCCAGACTCCTGGTGATTGGCCCAAAATCACCCAGCTGGCTTTCATGCCTAAGGCAGGACTAGAACGCACAAACTTTGGGTGAGTGGCCTAAAGTCACTCGCCCTGTTTTCATGCCTAAAATGGGATTAGCACTCAGTTTTTAACTGAGTGCAAACTGGAACTCATCAACCCCATCCTGCAAATCAAAAGCCCAGAGAGAGTTGGCATCCAGCAAGTCACCCAGAGACCAAACCAAAGCCGTCTCTCTTTCAACACCCGGCCAAGTTTGCACCCAATCTTTCCGAACGCCACTCCCCGCCTGCAAGCATGAATTTTAAAACTGGCAAAATCTTCAGCGTCTCTGAGGCCCCCTTTAGCCGCAACCATAGAAACAGTGAGCACCAAAAAATGCCGAGAAATGTGGCTTGTAGGTCGGGTGTTGTGAAAAGGACATTCTCTCCCCCTCTAGGGGACCTGTTTGCAGACCATATGTTCCTCCTTCGACTGCATCCAAACGAAACTACGAGACTCATTCCCGAGTCATAATTTAGCATCGTAGCACATAACGAACGTCGTTAGGCTGGGCTAAGGCATATTACGCGGCAGCGTTCTTGCTTGCAAGCGGGTTTTTTTATCGCTGTTCCCTCTGTTGACGGGAGAGCGCGCATCGTTTGATGGTTACTATTTTGGGAAGCTACAGAAGCCGACGTACTTGCAGGGCACGGATGGAGGAGGCGAGAGCTTCAACCAGGTGGTTAATTAATGGCTGCTGTCCAAATTAAGTAACGCTCGGATGATTATTATTATTATTTTTTAATAATAATCCAGCAGCCTTTTGGAATTCTTTTAACTCTCTGGTTCGAAAGGCAGGAAGGAGCTGCACGGTTCAACTCTGGAGACCTGAACGTCAGTCGAATAGATGAATAATTGCTGACGCTTATAAAAAGGGCGATTTTTCATTCTCTTTTCTTTTCCCCCTTCTCTCCATCTTATCTTTCCTGCAAAAGGAGGAGAGGCCTCTCCGTAGAACAAGTGGACATGTCAATCTGCTTTTTTGAGAAGGTGTTTGGATTCAGAATGCTGCAAGGGACGAGGGACATTAAGCTGAGGGTTTAAGGCTTTATCCTGGCAAGATTCTGTCTATGGTGTGTAAGGAAACAAAGATCCGGACACTTGAATTGTTCTATGTCCGTGATGCCGAGTATATGGAGCCATATTCACTGCCACAGCAGCCCTTGGCCGCCCTCTGATCTGGCACATGTTGGCCAGCTGATTTTAGGCCTTCTGAAGGGCTGGGGGGTGTTTTTGCCCTCCCCAGGCTTCAGGAAAGCCTCCAGAGCCTAAAGAGGGCAAAAAACAGCTTTCCTGAAGCCCGGGGGTGGGGGCGAAATAAGGCCCAACAGGCAAACTGGAAGTTCGGGAATGAACTTCCGATTGGCCCATTGGGCCTGTTTTTTGCCCTTTCCAGGCTCCGCAAGTTTTCCTGAAGCCTAGAGAGGGTGAAAATGGCTGTTTTTATCCTCCCCAGGCTTTAGGGAAGCCTCCAGAGCCTGGGAGGACGAAAATCCCCCCCCCCGCGCACAAACGTATGCAGGTAGGTGGGTCGCTTGCACCTGCATAGGTGGGTGGGCACACCTTTAGAAAAAGGTTAGCTATCACTGTTCTATGTCTCCTTCATGCGTACAGTTCAGAGGTGGTATTCTGCCAATTCGCACCATTTCGGGCAAACAGGTTGTGGCAGCGGTGCAGGGTTCCACTCACCCTCACAGACCTTCTGCGCATGCACAGAAGGTTCTGGGCATGCCCAGATGTGCGTGCTCCCACCAGCGAACCGGTAGTGAAGATAAGAGTATGCCATTACTGCTGCAGTTCCATAATGCAACCTCAACACGTTTAAAAAAACACAATACAACACAGAGGTATTGTTTCCCTACAAAGCTTTCCTGCCTGATCCTTTTTCCTGCATTCATGCCGGCGCACAATCCCTGTAAATTACAACACCCTAACATTTAATTGTGGGAGATATTTAAATCTTGTCAATTAAGGGCTTTGCCAATTACCTTTTTTCCCCTCCTCCCTCGACAAGGTGACAAGGTGGTCACGATCAATAAATTAAAGGAAAGGCCCCCTTTTGCCTCCCTCCCGATTTAAAAAAAGAGAGAAAGAGAAACGGTAGCTGGGTTGTTTATTACCCTTATTACATTATCTGTGGCAGCCAGGCAGAGAGGAGGGAAGGAGCGAGCAGTGTCAGGATGCTCCGAAATTTAATGAAGTGGTTCCAAATATTAATAAAGCGACTGGATAATGGAAGTGCACATTTTTCCCCGAGTCCTCTGACAATAACTATAACGAGGCCTCCCGGAAGCCATGAGATGGATTGGCAATGAGAAAGTGCCACTCTGGCATATTGCAAGGCCAGGAATACATTTGGCCGTGGTAAATGGAGATATTATTTTAATTCGGTGATTCTTTAAGTCCAGGAAGGGAAGAAGGTGGGATCAGGTGGGAAGCTTGAAATTTTGGGCTTAGACAACTTAGAACTACGCCACCTTCAATCTGAGCGTAGTACATAAAATTATCTGCTACAATGTCCTACCTATCAGCGACTACTTCAGCTTCAACCACAACAATGCACAAACATACAATAGACACAAACTTAAGGTAAACCGTACAAAATTCGATTGCAGAAAATACGTCTTCAGCAACAGAGTGGTCAACGCCTGGAATGCTCTACCTGACTCTGTGGTTTCTTCCCCAAACCCCCAAAACTTTAACCTTAAACTGTCTACTGTCGACCTCACCTCATTCCCAAGAGGTCTGTAAGTGCCTACTTTCCCTGTCCTACTGTCCCCACTTAACAAATAAATAATAAAATAAATAAAATAATAAAATAAATAGAATAATAAAATAAAAACAAAATAAATAAAATAAATAAATAATAAAACAAATAAATACAATACATAAAACAATGCATAAAACAATACATAAAATAAATAAATTACAGTTGCTTCCGTCCTTCACGATGGGCAATCTGATTTTCGCTTACTGGGAGAAAATTGACACAAGCCAGTCCTTAATTGGTGGGATTTTTGTTAGGTCTGGCAAGACAAGAATTTGGAATCGACTGGATCACCGAATCTGGGGAACAGATCTAGGGTGGATTTTTCAAGGCTCGAGTGTTGGTTCTGAAGGTGTGGCAGTTTCGTGTAAAGTCACCTTGTGGCCCAAAGTCACCTTGTAGGGGAAATGGCAGCATAAACGAAACAAAACAAAACGAAACATAATAAAATATAATAAAATATAATAAAACAAATAAAATAATAAAATAAATAAATAAATAAAATAAAAAATAATAAAGATAAAAATGATAAAAACTAATAAAACAAATAAAACATAAAAATGATAAAAGAAAGAAAAATAATAAAAGAAAGAAAAATAATAAAAGAAAGAAAAATAGTAAAAGAAAGAAAAAATAAAATAAAATAACAATGCGATCTATGGGTCTATGGTTGACTGAAGCACGCTCTCACCAACACTGGCAGGACAAACTACTGTATACATATTAACAAGGAACAAAACCAATA